GGCCAGAGCATTTGTAGGAAGAAGTGAGCAGCTGCAGCTTAAAGACACCAATTCAAGATGATTGACAGAGAGGTAGCACTTGAAGCGTTGGGTGTAATCTGCAATGCAAAAGTAACTTCAGTTCAAAAACTAAATTCCGGAGCACGCAGTGTAGCTTTCCAAGGCTTGGCCTCTTCCAGTTCTGCAGCACCAACTCTGTCTGCAAACCAGCTCATTTCTGCGGTCTTGGGTGGCGATCAAACCTGGTAAATATGATTGATGTCACTCTTGTTAGTCATCAAAACTGAATGCAGGTTTTATCTTTATGTATTTAGTCTTTTTATTTAGTGGTCTAGGTAGAGACTTAGGACCTTAAGTGTTTGTTATTTTTTAATTCAAATTTCGACATTGTTCATCGTATGCTGGATTAAATTTAAACTACCCCTGAGTCTCGATTTTTAGTCTTAATTTAAGAAAGATTAATTTCACCCAGAGATTGTTAACCTCTATAACAGAAAGCAGCCTGTTGAGGATAACATGAAGATATGGCTAATCTGCTTTGAACCTGCATCCTTTTCTGCTAACTTACAGCCCACTGTCAGGAAACAACTTTGCCAGGATTCAAAGTGTTCTCCAAGGTGGAAAGCTTTCTGAAAGCTTCACCAGCTTGACATTTGATGAAAGGACAAGAGGGGGAGAGACTTATATCATCGATCAGGATGAATTCTTTGACCGCAAGTTTGACTTCGACTTCACTGGGCTGAGAGACACAGAGACCTATTGCAGAGGTGGAGAGGTGTATGAACGTCCATGTGGTTGGCAACGCTTTGCCATCAAGGTAAACACAGATGACTGACTTCAGTACTACTACATTACACAGTAAAAGATCTGGGCAGTCATCATCGATATTATCAAATATATCACAGTATTCGTCAGTAATGCTAAATCAGTAACATAGTCCCTCAGTTCATCCAGTTTAGCACCAGTCGTAAAGCTCACCTCAGCGCTGGCGCCTGTGGAGAAAGTAACATGCTTTAATAGCTTTTGCTCCTTTATTCATCAACGGTGATCAACGGTTTTGTTCTGAGTTTTGCACCTGAACACTCCAAACTTTGCAAAGCTGTTCCGTTTTTTAAAGTCACTTTTTTATTTTACGAAAATGTTTTAGGTCCTGGACAAGTATGATGGAAATGCATGGCTCGGAACCCAGTACCGGAGCACCCAGTCAGTGCCGGGGGAGTGGCCCGTGTCCTACCACGGGACGTCAAAGGAAGGTGCTGAGGGCATCATCGAAGGATTCTACAAGGTTAGATTTTATTATTACTGCTGTTAGTGCATTATTGTCTCCAACAAAACTGTTACTGGTTAGCCCAGAGTAAATTGTAGCTGTAAATGTAAATTATGTTTCACTTTTATTTAACAGCCGGGCCCGGGTCAAGTCTACGGCAGAGGGATTTATTCCACTCCTTACATCAACGAGGCCATCCATTATTCCAGAATATTCACCTCTGCTCATAATGGCAAGAAGTACAGAGTGATTCTGCAGAATCGGATCAACCCAACTTATAGAGAGAAACACTACGACAGTAAATACTGGCTGGTTCGCATCTCAGCTGGATTACCGGTGGAAAAAGAAGAGGAGATGGTGAAACGGGCCATCCGTCCTTATGGCCTTCTGCTGAAAGAGGTCTAAAATGGAGAGAAACACATCTCAATAAAACCCACAAATCTGACCTATAAAGTATTTTTTTATACTTGTATAAGTTTACTAAACGTAAACTCTGTTGTAGTTGATATAAGAAAAAATGTGGGTAAAGGATTCCAAGGCTGTGTGACTGCTGTCTGAAAGCTGGAATAAAAAAGCTTCACTAAAACTGCTTCTGTGAATTTCTTGCACTGAAAACATGTTTCTGTGTTCAGATGTCAGTAAAGAATATCCCATTAAATTGTGTTTTAAGAGGTGAAGCTACAGCCCAAACAAATGTTTCTACTATCAGACCAGGGGACAGGAGTTATTAATAAACTTTATAAGAGAACGCTAACCAACAAAGCACGTTATTCAGCATATGAATGAGTTTTAATGAACAATCTTGGGCATTAGATTATGACAAAAAACATACACTAGTAAAACATCCAAACTCCTGTCTGAGGGTCAGTCCTTTACGAGTGTACTTGGATCACGGTGCAGGTATTCTGTCCTTCTACAGCATCTCTCAAACAACGACTGTCCACAAAGCAAAACTAAACTTTACAGGCACAAAACAAACAAAATATATAAAACAGTTAATAACTGTGTATTTTCATCCTCGTGAAATCCTCCACTCCTGTTTCCAGACAGAATAACAGATTCCTGTGATTATGTTTATCAGAGCAGTGTCTCAAACGTCAGTGTGAAAATAAACATTCGTATGCTACAGGACGCTCCAGCACAGAGTGAACACCATCCCCACAGATACAGCCGTCAGGGAAACAGAAGAACACCACATCATCAAAGCCCTGAGTAAATGTGCTTGTCCCAGCTGGGCATTTGTCAAAGCTGTGAGTGGGCGATAAGGCGTCTAGGAGAGGATCTCAAAACTAGATTATAGGTGGCAGACAGGTGTAAGCCAGCTCCTCTGTTCAAGGATGGTCGTTCACAGTGGACGTGGACGCCTTCTTTCACTCACACCTTGTGTTGATCTCAATAACTCACACAATCAGGTGAGGCAAAGTCTCACAATAATTGTGGTAATCTTTACTGACTGTACATCACCTGCAGAAGCTTTTACATGGTATTTAATTTTAATCAAACGACAACAAACAAAATGTTCACCAACTAACTGACAGAAGCATGTTCTGACTCACATCAGTCCTAGCTGAGTTTTCAGATTAAAACACACTCTCGGGTCGGACATTTAAAGGTTACTGAAGTGTCCTCTTGAGAAACTCGACCAGAAGGTGATGAGGGAAACCAAAATCCATCTGAATCACCACAAAGCCCTGCAGCAGAGATAAGAGGCAGAAGCTGTGAGAATGCAGGGATACAACACATGCAGAAAGAGAGGAAGGAGAAGACTCACGTCCCGGGGAAGCACCTCAGGGTTAAAGACATCAAACTGGTACAATCCCTGTTTGTCCAGAAGCCTGGTTAGCTCAACTCCCAGAACTGGAACAAACCACAAAAGCATCCTTCAGAGTGGAAATGACACACTAACTGTACAAAGGCTTGTTTACACCATCTGCTCTCGCTCTCTGACACAGATGTAACACCGGCTGTGAAGCTGGATTTAACCTTCTAGCACCTGCGTCCACATATGTGGACATCACACTTCGGGTTATTTAGACCAAAATACTCAATTTTGCTCTACAAGGGCCTGATATCCACTTACGAGGACATTATACTGCTACTGTTCTATCGAAAATTTAAACGAATATCCTCATAAGTGGCTCTGATTTTTCTTAGAAACAAAAATCAGGTAAAAAAATAAAATCAGGTAATTCTTTGTTTTTACATTCATCGGGCCCCAATCAGCCCAAATAGCAAAGAGAAATTAAAAATGCTGTCGTGGAAGAGTTCATGTCTTAGGAGGTTAAGGAAGAACTGCTTCAAGTTTTTAGAAAGTGTCTAGCACCATCTTCTGTCAGTACACAAGGTTACGTCACCAGGTTGATTTGTGCTATTAGATTCATTAATGCCAGCTGACTAATGACAGGACCAAGAAGTACTTTGAAAAAATGTAGGCAACAGAAAATAGTTGTTTTGATGAAATTCTCCTTCACTGCACGTGTCCGACATGACAGACTGAAGCTTTCGTGACAATTAGAACTTAGATTGGACTAATATTGTTTCCTATTGTATTAACATAGCAAAAGGTTCAGTTACCTTTTTACAAAAGTGGTGAGTAGAATTCGCTACTCTTTACTTTCTAACTATATTTCTGAGGCTGCACGGTTTTACTTTTACTGGAGTATAGAAGTTATTTAGTGCTTAAACTTTTTACAGGAGTATTTGTAACACAGAGATCTGTAATTTCGTAAAGAAAGTCTACACTTTTGTCAACGCTGATCCAGCTTCACTTACTGACCTGTTTTTGAGAGCGAAATGGTGTAAATGAGCCTTTATACATGCAGTGATTATGTTCACTTTGAAGAATCATTCAAGCTGAAGCACTGGATCAGCTGTTTGATGGCAAATCAACAAGTGCTTTCATAAGTGTCTGGCAGAGAGGCGTAGTAATGATAAAACTCATGCAGTCTTATAGACTTTAGGAAAGCTTTATAATAATGTGAAAGGTTTGAGGACGGAGCTGAGGCGCTGTGTTTCTTACCAGACAGGACTTTGGGAGTTCCAACTTTCACCACAGCTTCCTTTAGGAACTCGAGTGCTTCATCATGTCGCTAGAAAGAAAGGGAAAGGTTACCGATGAAGTCTAACCAGAAATGGAAATGTTCAGTTTAACTGGGAATTAAATAATCTGAAGAAAGACTGAATTATTCACACTTAACAGTTCAGTAATAATGTACAAATCTGTGCAGCTTGTCATACATCTAAAATAACACTTTAACGTGTGTAGTGCTTTCAGGGTGAATTCATGAAAATTACTTTTTCAGCAGTGATTGAATTTTTTAAAGCATAAAGTTTGACGTGTTGTTTGACAGCAGCTCTATAAAGGATGTCAAAGGTACAAAATTAGCACAACCGCACCACAATATCCAAAATAAAGGAAATGGAGCAGGTTAAAAACACTCGTATTACTCTGACTGCCTACCTGCTGATCCTGTAACGGCAGCTCAGCTCTGAATGCTGAGATCCTAAATGAAAGAGGATCACAATCACACACAGGCGTAGACGAACAGGACAAACTGACCGAAGTTACATCTGCAGATAAGTTTTATATCAGATATCAGAGTCTAACACTTACATCCTTACACTTAGGTGAGAACAGTAAAAGTAGAAGTCAGACAGCACAGGTGAGCCTTTGGAGTTCCTTTTAAATCTTTTCTCCAAGCAACAGACTAAGGCTACGTTCACTCTGCAGGTCTTGATGCTCAATTCAGATTTTTGTCTGCTCGTTCACACTACAAATAAAATGCGACAGCAAACGCGCTCTAGTGTGAACGCTTAAAAAGAAGACGTCACACACAACGCGCTCTGTTTAGACCCAGAGCAACAGTATTGTTTGACTGATGACCTTAATATAAAGACTTCGGACTTCACGTTTCCCAATTTTTGCTTTAAGTTATTTTGTTATTTACATAATAATGTAAATAACCTAATAATGATCCTTATTGCTGTTTGAGAGGAGCGGTGCTTCAAAGGATAGCTGCAGATTTCTGTCAGAATCTGCAGATTATACAGAACAAAGAAAATGTTCACGTTTCTCCAACGTTGTCTTCTCAGCAGTTTCACTGGATGGACAGGAAGCGTTCACGTCGTCTTCTCCGGCGCTGATAGTTGGCGTCTGTCTTGTGTCAGTGACGTAAAAGATGGATTTAATGCGACCTGACCGTTCAAACAGCAGTCGCTTTCTAAAACATCGGATATGTATGGGATTCAGCACCACATACGAAAGTGACCCAGATCGGATTTGAAAATATCGGATTTGTGCCGTTCACGCTGTCACACCATGATGGATAGATGGTCGCAGAGGGTAAAAAAAAATCGGATTTGATGCGCTTTCGCCTGCAGTGTGAACGCAGCCTAAGATCAACACCTTTGCCTTTACACTAGACTCTGAACTAGTTTGTTTTGATACCAAGATCACCAACTTGTTATTGGGGTCATTGTATAAAACACAGTGTGTTACACATTCAACCACATTACACTGTCTGAATATTCACTTAGCAAAAACGTAAAAAAATGAAAATTAAAGCCCAATCTTTCCAGGAGTGGAAGTCCCAGCAAAGGTCAGACTGTGCAAAGCTCAGAGAAATTACCCATGAGCACAAGATCTCTGGAACAATGTGCTTTGGACACACGAGACCAAAGTGGAGATGTTCGTCCATCATGCTCAGGACCACGTTTGGAGGAAACCAAACACCTCATGCACGAGCTCCTCTGTACACCAAAGCATTCTAGAGCCAAATGTTAGGCCACAGCTGCCGCTGGGACCAAACTGGGTCATCAGTCAAGGTGTTCAAAAATATGAGTCAACCAGTCTTACTCTGTTGGATGACCTTGCAGGAGGACTTTCTTGTTAACATAGGAAGTTGTGATGTCTACGGCCATGTCCTACACATCAAACACAAAGATCAAGACTTTGTAATTCATGGCTTTCTTATTCACTGCACAGACGCAATGTGTCAATACTGAGAATTAGAAGTGTTTCCCAGTTTGTCTCAGTATAGGAAAAGGCAGCTGGTACCGTCTGAAAGAAGAGTACTGGTGTGCCTTGGCCCTCACAGTGGAGCCGTCCAGATGCCTGCACCCAAACTGTGGTTCCCGAGGTGGAACTGTTCAAATGTGGAACAGATGAACTCCACAGTCTTAACTCTGGGGAAGCTGCATCCAGCAGACACTGAACACAAAAACACAAAATGCTTTACGTCCCATCTCAGAAAGTATATATTATATGCAGCTTTCACTCCTACCTTCCTAATAAGCTCAGGCATGGCAGTAGAGAGGTTTGTCCTGAGGAGCGTCTGAAATGATATTCAAGACTCAAACATGTACAGTGGTGTGAAAACGTGTTTGCCCCTCCTGACTTCATATTTGTGTATGTTTGTCACACTTAAATGTTTCAGATGATCACACAAATTTAAATATTAGATAAACATAACACATTTCTAAATAAAGGTGTTTTTTATTAAGGGGTAAACAAAGTTAAAGTCTTCCTCCAATAGGACCTGCATGGTGGTGTAGACCAAGATGAAAACCACTGCTGAGCAAAGGAACATAAAGGCTCGTCTGTGGACCGACGAGACCAGAGTTAAACTTTTTGTAAGGTGTGTGTCCCGTTACATCTGGCGTAAAGGTAACGCAGTAGTTCAGAAAAGGAACATCATACCAACAGTAAAATATGGTGAGCGTGATGGTCTGCTGCCCCGGACCTGGAGGACTTGCTGTGGTGAATGAAAAATTTGTTTGATGATCTGAACATTTAAATGTGACAAACATACAAAAAATAGGAAATTAGGAAGCAGGCAAGTTCAAACATCTGATCCCAGATCGAGCAAGAAGATACCACAAATGTCTGACTTGGAGCTTTTAGGTCAGGCTGAAGTACTTACGGTGAGCTCTTCTCCAGAGACATTGAGCTGAAAGCGGCCATCTTGGTGAGCTGCTTTGAGCATCGGGTTTAAGAACTGGTCTGCGGTCAAAACAACATTTGCATTAATAGCTTTCCACGTACAAATAAATGTTTTTCAATATATTTAAATAAAATTGTTTTTATTTTATTTTTGTACAAATAAACCTGTGAATGTTAAAGAGCATGGATGGGACACAGTTTGATCATCCTTTATCTGGTTTCAGTGTTTCAGCTACATAACCTCGACACTCTTTTGGCTCAGTGTTGACGGCCTTGAGGAGAAATGTTCCAATTTCAGGTTCCAGTCTTGTGTGGTGATTTGAAGCCTCGGTTTCCTGTTCTTGAACAGATGTGACACCTGGAGGAGTCTTCTGCTGATTTTGGTTTAAGGTTCAGAGACGCTCTTCTACATCCATTGGTTCTAACTTGGGCTTATTTCAGTTTCTGCTGCTCCTCTCTCTGGATATTCTTCTTTTTCAGACCATTTTCTGTGAACCCAGAGATGTTTGTGTGGGAAAATCCCAGCAGATCAGCAGCTTCTGAAATACTCCAACAGTTCGTCTGGCTCCAAAAACACTCCACGTTTACAGCCACTCAAGCCCCATTCTGAAGCTCAGACTGAACTCCAGCAGGCCGTCTTGAGCATGTCTATGTGTTAACCAACATACATGCTGTTTTTCATGTTTCTTTCTTTTGTGGCAGACTTCCAAAGCTACAAATTAATCTGAAACTTGTAAAGTCCCAACAAGTGGATGATCCAATATTAACAAGGACTTGGCAACAGTGGGGAGGAAGAATTCCCTTTAAACAACCTCCAGGAGGACCGAGCTCACAGAGGGCCACCCCTCTGCTGTGACTGGTGGGGGTGAGGGGATAGAGAAGACAGAAACGGGGAGCGTGGTCATTGCCTTCTATAGTACCTGGTGGAATTTCACTTCACAAAGGTGTAAATTACCTGGAAAATAAAATACACAAGATAAACAGAGCGTCTGCTGCTAACCTGAAATCCAAAAGTAGATCATCCTGTCTTCAGTCAGGTGACTCGGCTGGAAAACCGATTCATTGATGACAGCAACCTTGTTGTTGTACTTGGTCAGTCCCTGGGAGAGATGGAGCCCCACAGTGACCAACGAGATCATTATTAGACCCCTACGTGTCCTCCAGTACTGAAGAATTACTGCACATTACACTATTTAAAGGAGATCCAGCACTGCTGTGTATTCAACTATGTATCTAAAGTCATCATTTACCTTGTGGTATGATTCAATGTAGTTTGCTGTGATGACCGGAGCAGCAGCGATACCGATGTCCACACTGATGTCTCCATCAGTGAGGAACTGCTCTGCACACATGGATAAAATAGAAAACTTCAAAAAGTGGTCGATCACATAAAAGGCCAAAGACCTGATTTCTCTGGTATCTCACTGAAACAATCATATGTTGTTCCTTTGAAGTGTTGCTGGCACGCCTGCACGCATTTATAGGAAACTGTGGAAAGTGAAGCATTTTTCCCACTTTCTGTTGCTTTGAACATGTGCAGTGATAACTTAAAGAAGTCTATTCTCCTTGGCGTGTATGACCAGGGACGACAGGAGAAGAAGTTGAGCAATGACTCGCCACCACTGAGAAAAAATAATCCATAACATGAAAACTGACGCTGTACAAAATCAAGACACAGCTGCTTCATTGTCTTAAATATCTGTTCAAAATCCAATGAAATCTAATTTTTTGAAGAATTCTGGAGCAAAACATCAATTTCAGCTTCAAAGAGTTCGTCTTCCTGTCTTATTTTAATGTGCACTCCCTTAGCGTCGATTTCAAACAGATAAAAAAGGAGGCAGTTTGACAGGACTAATTCCTCACTGCACCTCGTCTGTCTGTATAGTCAGAAGGTTAAGACCACAGTCTTCAGACACCACGGCAGTAGAGAACATTTGTATGCAGGCTGTTTCACACATTTACATCCACACTGCCCTCCATGATTGGTAGTCCAACATGTCCTGGAAAACTGTCAGTTTATGACGAGCTGGAAGCGACAAACGATACAAAGAAACGACAAACATAGCAGGAGCCGGGCTTTTCTCAAGAGCTCTACGCTGACCTTAATCCAACAAGAACAAGAGCTGAAAACCTCAAAATCAAAAGACCGCCGCAGGAGCACCGTGCAACTCAAACACCCGCCGAGAAGTAAGAGTCATACTATGTTTTAGCATTTCTATTAAATATGTACTAAGACATCGTTCATGGGAGATTATTTGGTGCCAATAATAAGCTTGTGCAGAAACAGATGCTTAACCCTTTAAAACCGGTCGGAGCGGGCTACTTTTAAATCCTTGTAGCTCTGCAACCGTGTAAGCTAGCGCAATAATTTTTTTTTGCATATGAAACCGGAGGAGTTGTACTTACATCTTATGCCATCAGCTTGTCCTCGGTCACAGTTTCCTTCCACATAAAGCTTTGCAAAAATTGCATAAAAACCACTTGCAGCAACAAAAACATAATATTCTAGAAACACGCTTTGCCGATTCGATCAGCTGTTCATAACACTTCCTACGTTGGAATAGACGTCAGCGCGAACTTTTGCATGTCCGCCATGACCTGCCCGAAACCGGAAGTAACGTCATTTTAGCGGAAATGTAGTTTTTTTACTATCAGGGCCTCATGAGCCTATACTGGTGTTTTTAAAAGTTATGTTTGACTTTATGACTTTCTGTTTCGTTTCTGGGATGCTGAGGACTCATATTGCACTGCTGGAAATAGTTTATTTTGATGCATATGCTGTTTTTTTGCAAATCTGCATTATAATATTTATTTTCATTTTTCCTGCAGTATATAAAAATTGGTGTATCTCAAAAATAAAACTATGAAGACACTCAAAATAAATTTCCTGTGGTGGGAAACTATTTTGTTTTGAGGGTTAAGCCTCTTAAATTTCTCTAACTAGAAATATATGTTAAAAAAACAAAAACAATTTTCAATTTTTTTGTAGTTTATTGCACTTTTTTGCAATTTATGTAATTACTATGCACTTAATGCAGACATATTATTAAAATTTGGGCTATAATGGTTGTATTGATGTATATCAACTTGAAATGCTCCCAAAAATGGCTCCACAGCATGTACAAATATAATACAAGCTCTGGCGGACTTGGTTCTATGGTAGGTCTTAAAGGGTTAAGGAAAGGAAAGTGATTTTAATTCTAGATTTCAAACACTTCCTTCAGGTCTTCGCGTACCTGCCGTGTCCTGTATGAAGTCAGCCAGTATATTTGCCGCCTTGTTGATTTCCTTACAGATCTGTATTTGAGAAGACACCTGTCACTGCTTTATTCTTCTCAAAAATCATTGTTGTGCACATCATAGGTTTGTCTCTGTCGCCCTCACCTGTCCCTTGATGACCAGCTTGACAGTAAGCGTGATGAAGTCGGTGAAGAGCTTCTTCAGCCAGTTCGGCCTGACCACAAAAATGTTGACAGTCAGACACTGAGATTCATGCAGATGCTTCATTCCCACTTCTGTTACTTACTCTTTGTCTCCCTGCAGGTGCAGACGCAGCTTGTGAAAGTTCAAGTAACAGTCTGCTGTGTCTGCTGCTACCTTTCCATCACCGCAGTCTGACGGGGACACACAGGTGACAGAGGATAGCTAGTCAGTGTTTATATGATGCTTCATTGTGTGTCAGCTGGAACAAAAGAGACCGCCACATGCTACACTAGCAGCCACATTTTAAGATGGTGGATGATGACATCAAACTTTCACTGTATTATTATTATTATTATTATTATAAAATACACAAACATGGTTGCTCTTGGGAGTTACTGCAGTTTTCTGTGGAGGAAAAGTAAAATGCTACTAATAACGCAGTGTGAAATACAATACAGATGTAAAGTATTAATGGAAAACAAACATAAGGCTGACAAGCTGCAACACAAACGACACACGTTAAATCCCTGCAATATTTGTGCAGCGGCGCAGTTAGACTGAGTTTGTACTTCACTCAATCAACCTCTTCAAAAAAATAACTAAAACTTTCACCACCAGGGGGCAGCCTTTTGCTAGATTTTTAGTTTTGGTGTAGCCGTCCAAGATACCAGGGCATGCGTCTGCTGTTCCTTCATGGGTTTCTTCCCATACTAAAGGCACACATGTTTGTTTAAGTGGAAATAATCTTACATGTTATAAAGTAGACCCTGCTTGTGTCAGACTGGATCTCCTTTCACCATCAGAACTGCCAGCACCTTCAAAAAGGTACTGGAAACGTTCACTCGGTCCATGCGGACAGTTACTGCACATCCGAGATGATAATCTCCCATCCCACCACATCCCAAAGGTGCTCTTCAGGACTGAGACCAGGTGACCGTGGAGGCCGTAGAGTGAAGTCATCATCATGTTTATTAAGAAACCAGTGTGCGATTATTTCAGCTTTGTGATGTGACATGGTTTTCCTTCTGGAAGCAGGCGTCAACGGATGGCTGCACTGTGATGGGCACGGTCAGCAGGAACACTCAGGTAACAATGCTCAGTGGGTACTTACATGTGCCATTACAGCAACAGCACCACAAGCCTGAATCCCTGATGCAAGGCAGGATGGATCCATGTGGTTTATGGCAAATTCTGACACTGACATCTGAATGTTGCAGGAGAAATGGAGGCTCCAGTCTTCTGTTGTCTAGTTTAGGTGAGCCTGTATGAACTGTCCCCTCAGTTTCCTGTTCTTAGCTGACAGGAAGACATCCAGTGTGGTCTTCTGCTGCTGTAGCACATCTGCTTCAGGTTCAGAGAGGCTCTTCTGCACAGCTTGGTTAGAACTTGTAACAACTGCTGCCACCCTGTCAGTTCAAAGCAGGCTCGCCATTCTCCTCTGACCTCTCATTATGCCCTTTTTTTGTTTTACTAAACCTTAACAATCCACTGAGTTTTATGTGATCATTGTATGTTTTTATGTTCAGTCCTGATACATTCTGAAAGCTTTGAATACATTAATGGAGCTAGAACGTAAAGCATCAAAAAATGGAAAAAACTACCAAGATGAATGTGGAACAAAACACAAACCTAACCCAGGAACGGTGACTGCTGATGGGGTGGCTTGTTGAGAGGTCAAACAAACTGGTACATGATGTACTTACAAAGTTTGGGGTTGATTCCAAGATCAATCTGAGAGTCAATCTCAAAGTCAACTGAATGTCCGAAGTTAACACTAAAGAAAAAGAAAAATACAAATGAGAGTAAGGTCAAAGATCACAGGAAACAGGAGGGATTACTAATCCTCACTGCCTGAGAATTAGTAATCGCCCAGTCGCTGAAAATAATGTAATTCAACTAAAAAATGTTTAAAAACACCCACAAAATGCACAAAAGTCCATCTACCTATGCTAAAAACAAAGTATTAGTGCAGTGGTTTTCCCATCAGACTCAAACTGCAACAAAGCTATCCCAGCTAGTCAGCCATGTTGCTGCTATTTGACATTTAAACTCTGTGTCAAAGTTTCAAAAACCACCAAACAAAGAAAAACTGCTTGACTTTCAGTCATCGTTGAACTGAATCATTTCTAAAGCCCTGAAAACAAAACTACAGGAGGAAATGACATCAGATCGCTGCTGTGGTCGTATTACTGAGAAATAATCATTGATTCCAAAGTGAAGACTCATTCATTCAAATTAAATTGGAAGTTTTGGGCGCATTGGAGTATGAAGAGCATTAGCATGAAAGAAAGTCGGTCTCCATAGAGACCCGTGTTAAAACTATAACCTGTTTTGAGCAAAACCAGAGCTGCTCTCTAATGCGAACGTGGATTTGGATTTTTTATGGTTTAAATTAGCAGCGTTGCTTCTCTGATCTTGTTTTAAAGGTAACAATTGTGCAGCATGTGGCTAAACTACAACCAAACACAACTTGACAGTAGCATCACTGAGTCCAGTATCCACACTTCTCATCAGACAAACAGTAACATGATTCAGCGAGGTGATGTGCAGTAGTCTCTAAGAATCTGTAGATCAGATCATATGGTGGTGTGTGTGTGTGTGTGTGTGTGTGTGTGTGTGTGTGTGTGTGTGTGTGTGTGTGTGTCACTGTCGGTCACACATACTCACAGCCAGCTGCCGTATCCATACTGGATGCTGCCCTTGAACACTGCAGACACATTGCTTATCTCCATGGCGATGCCTTCACCTGGATGCAGCTCAAACGCGCTCTGACCAATCGACAGGTTGTGAATCTCCAAACTGGACGGTGAAGGACGGACACGCTTTTTCACCATGGGTGTCACATATATGTTTATAGTGTGTGTGTGTGTCTCCTCACTTGTCCAGGCCGTACATGACCTTTCCAATGAAGAGCAGGGACTTCTCCCCCTTCATGCTCGGGTATCGGGCGTGTTGAAAAGCCGCCTCGATCACTTTAGTGGTTTTCTCATTCACTGCAAAGATAAAAGCACGTGTGCTCTAAAACACCACAGGGTTGTGATCTGTGGTGACCTAATCTGACAGATGAGCCGACGTGAATACTTCCCATTAAGTACAACTTTCAGAACTGGCTGAAAACAAGTCTTATTTTCCATTTAAATGTTTTAATCTTTTTGTTTTATTAGCACCAAATTGCAATAATCACATGAATGAACTTCATAAGACCCTAAAACATCAGTGAGGAGAAAAGAAACTTTAACACAACCAGACTGAGGTTTGTGGCAGATAGATGTGACGTGCACTTCACCTGACGACCAACTGAATGAAATCATGTTAAAGCTGCTGCTGCTATTTCACTGCAAACAGGGAAAACTATCCGGAAACTTCACTGAATGTATGTGTTTGAATAAAATCGTCACTCTGTTCCTGCTCTTTGGTTCCAGAAAGTCGCTGCTTGAGTGGATGATTAGATAAAATCAATAAATGGAGTCAAATAAATTCCAGGAAAAAAAGACTCACACACGACAGCAGCGGGGTAGGTGAGCCTGCACACGGCTCCGGTGAATCTGTAGGCTGAAGCGGGGTCCTGCAGGCAGCAGTGGGATGTGCCGAACCAGGACAGCAACGACAGCAGCAGCAGCAGCGGGACTTTGCCGGGCATCGTGCATGAGGTGGTTTTCCCTCTCTGAGAACTGGCTGAGGTGTCTAACCCTGTGGACGGTTCTGTCGGAGCACAGCAGGTGAATCCTGGTTCCCTCGGTTCTGGCTTTACTAACGGATCATCAGGAACATGGAAAACTGTGCTCCTGATATCTGTGCTGACAGAGAAAGACAAGTCTTGTGCTTCAGACTCGTTGAAAGGACAAACACTGACTCAGGTCTGTCCCCGTTAAAGTAAACTGATCAAAGTCCAACCTGTCCTATCACCTCAGGTATGAGCACAGACTCTGGAGTTTTGAGCTCTTCAGCAGGACAAAGAATGCATCCCTTTCTTTTCAAACTGGGACAAAACAAGAAGCAGAAGGCAACACTGCCAGCATACGTACCCCACAAAGACGCCTTAAAAGTGAGCAAAAGGACACGGAGCCTCTGATTCCAGCCTTTCCTCCTCTCATCAGGGGACTAACATTCAGGGCCAGCGTTCCTGAATAAATGCAGGGTCACAATGAAACAGGAGCTCCCTGTAAGAGGAGACGAAAGGGGAGGTACAGCTGACGGAGCCTGGACGTAACAACAAAGGGGGCACTGATCTAGCTGGGGCCTTAACAGGAATCAATAAGTGTGGGTGTTTTATGTGCGATGGCATCAGCTGACTTTATTGATTGGTTCTTCCACTCTAAAAACACGAGTGTGAGACAGAAACGAGAGGCTGTGGGAGGCACAAGTTCACCAACCTGGACAAAGGCAGCCCGCTCTCAGCTGCTGCAGATGATTGGTCCAGTGACACGAAGCTGCTTATTGCTCTGTTCCTGAAAGGTTTGGACACACTGCAGGTACTCCCGAGCTCTGAAACCAAGTGTCAAGCAAAACATCTACATGAATGAAGAAACGTCGCTCAGCAGTCCGCATCTTCTGTGCTTCTGCTATCAGCACATGAACATGAGCTCACTGCATGAGGATCCAGCGTGGCTGTCTGCATCCAGGTGGATGAGCTGCTTGCTGTGGTAACGTGTCAGCTCCAGTTTGATTCCCACACGTTACCTGTTTACACTGAGGGAGGAGGCTGGAGCAGAAAACTCTGGAGGCAGAGCTACAACATGCGTTTTCTGGACACTTATTCATCAGCTACAATAACACCATATGGAAAAAGAAGACTGCCCCCTGGTGGTGAAAGGTTTGACTTCGCTTTTCCCTTTACCAGGAAATTTTGCACTACCTAAATAATTATTTCTGACTTCTAATGCAATAACCTGTGTTTGTATCTGATTACATTTTAATTTCAAAAGGAAATACACTAAAATTCCATTTAATAACAGGAGGCTTACACCCCTTGGATGCAGGCAGAGCAGCCAAACTTTGCATTGGCCTGTTTTTAACTAGTGGATTCTACTTTGTATTAATTATTTGCATTCGGCAAATCAAGCCAACCTGCAAATATAATTGTTAGCTTGCTGTGCTGAACCTATAATTTGAATGTATTTGTACTGTGACTGTGCCTGCAGGCAGCACATGCAGTGGGGGGACTTGAGCCTCAGTATGTTTAAACATGCGGTCATCAAACTCAAACATCAGAAGAAACAAATCCACAAAATAAGGAATCATTAAAGTTAAGAATATTTATTGCATCCATTATTGGAAAACACACTTCACTGTACAGCATTCATCCATTTGTAATGGAAAGATGATTAAAAAAGAAATTTCCAATCGCACACTGTGACCCACGAGCGACCGTCGTCCCCTCACAGGGAACCGGAGTGCTAACACCCGGGGCTTAAGCGCTAAGCAAACTAGACTGGATTACAGGAAGGGCTGTGACCTTTAACCTCTGCTAAAAGCTGCTTCTTTTCAGAGGCATTGTTATGATATTAACATCTGTTTATTCTCTTCTGAGGACCAAAGAAAAAACCCAAAACAAGCACAGCTGATGAACTGAATTTCAGTTTCACATCAAGTCACACTTTAAAACGAAACTTTGTCCAGTCTCTGACAGTAAAAGCAACTCGGCATTAATAGAAATCACAACCTCTCTTTGCATAAGATACATGTTATAAAGTGCTTCGTGTACATACAATACAATTACAAAATGCATTTTAAGCTGCACCACCATCACTGTTTTACAGATGGATTTCAAATTGTATTTGGTCACAATTGCCACTCACTGAAAGGGAAAATAACATGAGTAAAGTGTCGTTTTCACTTGTGTTAATGTGGATGTTTGGACAAACCTTCAGCTTGTTTCTGATTAACTATAAAAAGTGTAAGGAAGCAAATAAAGGTCCCTAAATATATGAATAACAGAAATCCTTATATATACACATATAATTTTGAGGACCCTGATTTTAAAAATTCAATGCGAAGATAAGTTTAGCCGCTTTTGGAAGAGGCGAACGTTTCAGTCCGATTGAGTGTTACAGACACCCGTGCACCCACGCGTCCTCAGATGAGCCGAATACTGATTCACGGAGCCGGGCCACGCAGCGACCACGGCGTGGCACATGATTTTAAATCAGAAGGCATGTGGATGTAAACGTCGTTACATGAAGAGCGTTTTAGGCACAACAGTTTCAGCTTTCAGGAGGATTATCGGCACCCGCTGCCACTTTGTGGACAAAAGGAGGGAACGATCAGGGTGGGGGGCTGGTGGCAGGCAGTGGATGTCTGTGGTCAGGTCGGCTGGGATCCTGTTGGAGGATTTATTAATATATTTTCAGGTCTTGCATCTTTGATTCTGTCCACATTTTTTGGCAGTTCTTGGGGATCTTGCTGGTGTGGTTTGCTTCCCGCTCACTTGAAAGATCAAAGTCACAGGAACTCGGAGCACTGAGGTGCAGCGCTCTTGTCTGCATCCATTTATTATTCGGTAAACGCCTTCCACCCACGCTTCAAGAAACATCTCCAGAGATGACAGAAGAGCGGGAACTGTCTGCAATCAGTCCTCCGTCCCAGATGTTCAGTTAGGCCACAGCCTGAGCGGCCTCGGGTACGAGGGAGGAGAAGAAGGTTTTGAAGAAAACCCAGGCCGTCCACATGACGGACACTCGGTGAGGAGGCACCAACACCGCTGTCATCGTTCCCTCTGATCCTTCAGCTGCTGGTTCATCCTGCTGTCTGTCGGCGTGCTCACCTGCCTGAGGAGACACACGTCACACATCAGCCTGCAGCATTTAATTCACCCACTACAGCAAACATCAGGGCCTGTGTGCAGGTTAGCGACTCGACCTGACCCGGGTCTCACTGCTAGCTCATTTCAAAAACATTCAGTCTTTTCTCAGTGTGCAGCATTTAGCTGGAGTTTCATCAATGTAGGAAAAAGTGAACAAGAGAGAAAAATGATGAGTTTCTTACTGGATTCAGGTTTGGGTTCCTGTTCTGGTTCTGCTGGTTCTCGGGGGGCTGCAGCTGGTTGGGTTCTGGGACCTGCACTCTCCTTCTGAAGGGAAACCAGCCGACGGTGTGTCTGGAAGACAAGGCAGGAAATTCAGGGGTTACAAGGAAAAGCTAACCATCTATAATCCTGAAAGAAGCTCCAAAGGTTTGTAACGTCACATCGTGGTTGGAGCTTCCTACACCGTGATGCCCACAGAGCTGCCAGTGCCTGGTTTCAGCACGCTAGTCTCCATCAGAACGCTGGATCAAGAGCTCAGGCCTGTGGTTAAAAACTTCTTGCCCCCCATTTTCTGCTCTCTGTGGTTAAGGAAAACTGCTGCACCACCTAAACACCAGTTAGATAAATCTGAAAGTGAACACTAGGGGTCAGCAGCGGGCAGCTGGGTGCAGCACAAGGCTCGAAAACATGATCTCACAGAACTCGATATGAGTCATTTATTGAGAAAAACTAAATGTCAGATCAGATTTCTGCTTATGATGAGAAGCTGAAGACATTACACATGACATTTAAGCACTTAATAAAGTTGTCACGGCAACAAAACACGTGAGCGCTCGTCTAGAGCCTTTTATTCCAAAAACTAAGAAGTGATTAGAAACTAACTGCAGGTGATGCTTTCAGTCAACCTTCAGCTGAGTGCTGACACCTGTGAACTCATTTGTGAGGATTTAAAGTCTACCATCATGATTAAAAGTAAAAAACAAAAACAGAACTGAGCCGTAGAGGTCGTCGGTCAGCAAGAGGGAAGTGGGCCGGGGGCAGCACGGCTGATGCTGACAGCGTGATCTCCAGCCTCAAATAAGAGTGAAAGCACGACCAGCAGCAAACCCTTCAAACGAAGCCTTCGGTGAGCGCTCCTTTCTTTAACAGCTTCCAGAGTTTTAAGATTTAAAGAAAAACTTTTTAAAGGAAGCACATCCTGCCAACACGGCTGATAGATGTCAACAGCAACTCGTATGCGTCACGATAGGCTATCAGTGCAGCCATCATTAATGAAATCACTCGACTTTAAGTCAGCAGTACACAGCTGAGCCCGGAAACTCCCTCCTTCACAGAGAGATGCAAATATTTCAAAGCTTTTGCAGTAAAAATGATTGTGTGGCAGCCCCGCAGCACGAGGAAGTACTGCGGTCTGAGCTTTATCAGTAAGAGGAAGTTCAGGCTTTATTCAGTGGTTTAGACTCACTTAGGACAGGAGTCAGTACATATGAAGAAGCAGAGTACTGACAGAAACATGACTGATATTCGTCGACCCAAAAGAGCAATAATGTTAAAAAAAGAAATGACACTTCATTTAACTCTGAACGTGTCTGCTGTCAGATCATAGGTCTACCATCTTCACTTCTAATGCACTTCCACTTTAACAGTAAATCACTGAAAAAGTTTATTTTACTTTGAGAGGTGACGGTTTCAGATCATATTTACATTTTCATATTTGTCTCCTTTCCTGCACAATACCAAGAAGTTGGCAAAGGGTAAGCCGCTCTATAATAAGGCTGCCCCTGAACAGTACGGGATAGAAAGAAATAGTTTGTTTTTCCACTAAATTACCAGGAAAGTAGTAACTGAAGCACCTGCAGTGCTTAACTTATTCATTTGTCTTCTGTAGCAGTGGTAGAATAGTTATGTTATATAGTTTATGTCTTGCATATTTCCACAACCATATTCATAATCACATACTGTGTATACTACCGTTGCATTATCTTACTTATTTTTAATTTGTTTGTACTTTTTTGGTATTTTTCCTTCTGATATCTGTACCTGAGCTGAGCTAACGCAAAAAATTTCCCCGTCCTGGGATCAATAAAGTCTTATCTTAAAAATCTGACATTACTGCCTTATTTTAGTGTACCTATCACTAAATATCAAGTGTAACCAAAGTGTTACCAAAACTGCTCTAACAGCAGCTCGAGTCTAATTTGTACAGGTCTGCTAGACAAATAAATATAATATTTCTTATATCGGTCTGTATAGGGACCTTTTTTTGTTCCCCTTGCTGGTGTAACAGGTTTAAAGGATCCATGGCCTGCAGGTGGGGCTCTGTGTATACACACTCCGTCTGTGACTCAGACAGGCTGCTGGGCTTTAAATGGGCGAGGCGTGTTGGTGTGCAATTCACCAAGAGACGCTAAAAAGGGAGAACTCAGAAAACCAGACTCTTGTTGACCCCTGTGACTTAAATCTAGTGATTACAGCAGCTCTCTGAACCCACAGCTGCACACTTACAGGTACATGAGGAGCAGGGTGCCCATCACCAGCAGGAAGCGGCTCAGGTTGGAGTTGAAGTACACGATCATCATCAGGACCCCGAATCTTGCAGCAGAGTACAACCAGTCCAGCCAATCGCGCTCCATGCCCTCCTCGTCCTCCACAACGGCTCCGCCCTGCGCGTTCATCCGCATGTTCTGGTTGGCCTCCCCGGGGTTGATGAAAGCG